TCCCAAGTGTGTGGATCAACCATGTTGAATCAAGAGTTTTTCTTTTGCAGTGAGGCTCCTTCCATTCAGAGAGTTTCTACAGGAGTTTCCCTTGAAGGAAAGGGGAGAAGTAATTTTGCCAATTCCTTTTGTCCCCTGCAGTCTCCAGTACCACCTCCCAGGTTGTTTCAAAGGATCTCCTGGCCACCCTCTCTTATAGCTTCTGGTAGAGTACAGAAGGGTGCATGGAGATGAAGAAACTGGGAAAGATGACTTCTGCAGCTCCATCCCCCATTCTCACAGCATTTTATGAACAGAGGGGACTCTGGACCCAATCCAATACCTTCCAAAGCACCCACATTCAAATATGTCTGCTTCATTTATTTCTAATTATTTTCCTTTATGGTTTCTCAGAAAAATTAGGGACAAAAGCATTTGTTCCCTGCATGTCTGGGAACATCCAAATCACTTCATCCAAAAAACTTGCAGCTTTTTTTTTTTTTTAATCTGACAATCCCCCCCCCCCCCCACCTACCCACCCCAGGACTTTCCATTGGCTGTGTGCATGCAAATTTGGGTGGCATGTTATTTCCAGGATTAATCAACAGTATTTGGATATGGTGCCTTGGTGTACATATGGCCTTTGCAGACTGCCAGAAATAATGCAAATTGAGTCCACTTTAACTTCCCTGACTCAGTGCTATGGAATCATGGGAACTGTAGTTTATTGTGGCACCAGAGCTCTCTGACAGAGAACGCTCAATGTCTCCCATGATTCCCTAGCACTGAGCCAGGGCAGTTAAAGTGGACTCAGTTTGCACTATTTCTAGCAGTCTGCAAAGGCCCATAATTAGCCTTTCTGATTTCTCTCTGCATTCTTTCTTGCAGGAAAGTAGTCAGGGCTCAGACTGATTAACCTTGAGTAGTAGAGAGCTGGTAAACATAGTTCTTTCCCACCCCACTTTGCACTGAACTTTCAGATAGGCAAATGCAAAATATTTCCTAACTTTTCCTATCTCTTTTTATCATCTCTGGTTGTTGTTGTTTGTTAACTGCCCTCAAGTCAACTTTGACTATGGCGCTGTGGATGAGACATCTCCAAGACCCCTGTCTTCCACTGCTCTTCTTAAGTCTTGTAGATTCATGCCTGTAACCCTCAAGTCTAGCCATCTGGCATATGGTCTTCCTCTCTTTCTACTAACCTCAACCTTTCTCAGCATGATTGTCTTTTCTAATGAGCCATACCTTCTCATGATGTGGCCAAAATATGACAGCTTCAATTTGATCATATTGGGCTCTAGGGGTATTTCTGGCTTGAACTGTTCAAGGACCCAACTGCTTATCTTTTTGGCTGTCCATGGTATCCTCAGCACTCTTCTCCATCACCACATCTCAAATGAATTGGTTTTCTTTCTTCACTGTTCAGCTCTCACATCCATACATAGTGATGGGGAATACCATGGATGATTCTAACCTTAGTGCTCAGTTGTATATCTTTGCTCTTTAAGATCTTGTCTAGTTCTTTCATTGCTGCCCTTCCTATTCCTAGTCTTCTTATTTATTGACTGCAGACTCAGTTCTGATCAAAGTTAGATCTAAGGTATGAGAAATCCAAGGTGGTTGTTAAGTGCCATGAAGTCGATTTTGACTTATGGTAACCCCATGAATGAGAGACCTCCAAGTCATCCTGTCTTTAACAGTCATGCTCAGGTCTTGCAGATTTAGGACCATTGTTTTTGTTCTATTCTTTAGTTGGGTTTGTATTTGCTTTTAGATAAAGCTGCTATTTCTAGAAATATGTTTTAAAAGTGTTTGTGGTTGTGTTTATGTTTAACAAAAAATATTTTAAAAAAGGAAACCCACTGGGTGACCTTGGGCAAATCACACTCAGTCTCAGGAGAAGGTAAAGGCAAAACCCTTCTGGACCAATCTTGCCAAGAAACCCTAGTTATAAGGTCACCTTAGGGGTGCCATAAGACAGAAATGATTTGAAGGCACACAACAACAAGTTCCTGGCTGCTTTCCTTCCACCTCATAGGTCAAAGCTATGCAAAATACACAGTAACAGGAAAATGAAATTTGTTTTATGAGGAGATAAAGGGAGAAGGCATCCACCAAGGGAGTGTTGCCACACAAATCAATTAGCAAATGTATAGAGCAATGGTACCCAAACATTTTACCCTTGGGACCCCCCTTTACATCTACATGTGGAAGTCATGCCCCCCCATCTCAACATAGTATATGAATAAAAATAATTTGTTTATTTAGTGTGCTTATTTTCATTTGCACATTCATGTGTATTCATATTTTAACATTTTAAAAGGAAATAACATTGTTCAAATTAAAACAGTTTTATTTAATTAAATTTAGTATTTAACTCAATACACCTGTAAATTTTACACATAAAAAAGTTTGGGAAGAGGAGAGGGGAAATCAGAGCTCCAAGTCTTGTGCCCCTCTTGAGAAACTCTTATACCCTCCCACCATTTGAGAACCACTAGTATAGAGGTTTACTGGCACCCCTCCTTTAAACTGGAAACATAATAGTAATAATAATAATAATAATAATAATAATAATAATAATAATAATAATAATAATAATAATAATAATTTATTTATATCCTGCCTTTAGCCAAGGCTATCAAGGCGGCTTACAATTAAAATACAATCCCATACAATTATAATAGACATATAACCCCCCAAAAATATATATATTAAATCATTATCAACATTAAAATCAACTTAAAACAAGACTACAAGTCAATACTATTAAATGGCTGGCACTCTGAATATATAGAAGAGTGATCTGACAGTCTGATGGTGGGAGAGAGATTGTAACAATGTCATTCTGGGAATGCCTGCTGGAAGAGATTCATGCTACACATCCCATTTGAGTGTTGCTTGGTTTCTGTGGCTATATTTGGCATCAGATGCTTCTCTAAAGATGCTCTCCTATGCCCAAATACTTTGGACTTTTGATTAATTGTTTGAATAAATGCTCTGTGTACCTCTGTCAGAACTTAAGTGCAACTCAAGAATATGAAACTTTGCATGATAGTCTGTGCTGGTTCTGTTACATGTCCCATTTTTTAAGGGTGTGTGTGGGAAAAACACATTGAGCCTCTTAAAGGCATGCACTACACTATACTTAAGGCTACCAGATGGTAATCCAGATAATATACAGATCCCTTTAAATTCCTTGAATGCCTATGAACATAATGCACTTGAAACAATCTCCACCCATTTTATCCACTTGTCATCTTGTCTGGTCTTCCTCACCTGAACTGCTTATTAAAGCAAGCAAGGAAGGGCAATGACCAGCAGAACTCAAAAATAATATCCAGAGGGAGGATTTTTCAATGTCTCATATAAAGAATGTGTGTGGAATCTGATTTTAGTTCAAGGTCTGGCAGGATTCTTTCAGTCCCTTCTTCTTGGGCTCTATATAGGAGGGGTACAGTTTGTACTATGGAAGTGTCATATTGTCACAGGTGTCACTGGAGGGTTGCGGAAAGACCAGAATGACCAGATGTCATAACTGCAAAGGAGGACAAGGCACTGCAAAATGTAGGCTATTCAAGAAAAAGAAAGAAAGATGTAGGACATTACAAAAGAAAGGCTAAAAACACTAATATAAATATAAATTCATTTCATATGGTTCATTTACATTACATATATTGCATTTTAATGAATCCCATTGTGGATGAAAGGAAATATTTTAAATAAATAATAAATAAAATAAAATGAGATCTTCTTTCTCTGAAGATGCCATCCACAGATGCTGGCGAAACGTCAGAAAGAAACTCTTCCAGAACATGGCCACACAGCCCGAAAAACCCACAAAAACTATGGATGCCGGCCATGAAAGCCTACGACTTCACAAAATAAAATAAAATTTATTATGTATTCAACTGTATATTTCTGATGAACAAGCCTTATTGGTTTGTAATAGAGTAAGAACTTTGTATCAATTGGGGTTGGGTTCCAGGACTCCCCCGTGGATACCAACATCCGTAGATACTCAAGTCCCATTATATACAATGGAGTAGTAAAATGGTGCCCCTTATATAAAATGGCAAAATGAAGGTTTGCTTTTTGGAATGTATACATTTTAAAAATATTGTGTAAAATGAAACCTCTCAGCATTTGCGTTATGTCTTAAAGCAGCCCATTGCCTAACACATTTGCTGTCCTTTTCCAGAGAAACAAGCCTGCCCTTAGCTCTGGGGACAAGGCTTGTTTACTGCTGCTCCTAGGAAAAAAATAACCTTAGAAGGTCCATCCTATTCCCTTATTTGCAGTGAACACAGCCTGCCATGGAGATGAATTTCTTGAAGGGGAACAGCAAATGAGTTTTTTTTACTCAATGGGCCTCCTCCTCTCGGTAATGGCTATTGCTAAAAAATGGGATACGCAACAGACCCAGCAGAGATAGAATTATTCAAGTCTCCCCCAGCAGTGGTCTGGATGGATGGCTAGCCAGCCTGGGGTGGGGAGGAAGGTTAAAGCAGTCCACCACCACCCTGCACTGGGTGACACTAACTGTAGCAATGCCACTGTATATTGATGGACATCTGTGGATACAGCCGGGGGAGGAGGTACTCACATATGCATCATGCTCACAAAGAAATTTGCAGATTTCCAATGTACATGTTCTTATTACTGTAAGAAGAAGGGCCCTCCCTCCAGTCCATCTGCCTTGGTCCAGGCTTTAGAGGGAGAGAAGATCTGCTGGACATATTCCCCTTCCCCACCACCATCTCTTCTCCTTTTGTGTCTTGTCTTTTTAGATTGTAAGCCTGAGGGCAGGGAACCATCTAATTAATCCATTTGTAAGCCGCTCTGATAGGATAAATACTCCAAATAAATAAATAAATACTGTGTGCCTTCAAGTTGTTTCTGACTTACAGTGATCCTCTTATGGGGTTTTCTTGGCAGGTTTCTTCAGAGAGGATTTGTCATTGCCATCCTCTGAGGCTGAGAGAGTATGACTTGCCCAAGATCACCCAGTGGGTTTCCATGGCCTAGATGGGACTCGAACCCTGGTCTTCAGATGTTCTAGTCCAACACTCAAACCACTATGCCATACTGGCTTATCCAAATGTGCATATAGTTCTCTTTAAACATGATGGGGGTGTAGCCAAGTGATGCATACAATTTAAAACCCAAGCACCAACGTGCACACATTTGAAAAAAGAAAAGCAAATAAAAGAATGGATTTTGCCCTTTTGAAAATCAACAAAATCATGACAGATCTGGAAAGGGACTGGATGTGGAGGTGAGAAAGGGTGGCTTTTTGCAGATATGGACTTTAAAATGTACACATCTAAGCACATTCTCTGGGTTCTGGCTTAGAATCCCTCTTGAAAGCTGGAAATGGAAAATAGCATGCTTTTCCACAAGCTGTGTCTTGGCAATCTTAAAAGCATGAGAGAGGCACTGAAAATGAAGGATGTCTAGGCTTATGAACTGTGCCAGCATTTGAAACACATAATGCAGAGAGATGTTATCTGCTTGTGCTGTGATAAGCAAATGACATTTAATATTAATGTATAATTACAACTTGTCAGTTTGCAGTGACTGCTTAAGGATGTACCACACCAATTACAGCAAACCCAGTTATTATTGGACTGCCAATAGCTGCCTGGTAATTCAACTGGACTAGTGTGTTGCATTGAAAACTATCTTATGTTTCTGTTAGGGGCTTAAAAATCCAATTATTAATCTTAACTGGAGCAGACCCATGGAATCAAAAGATTTTACATAAGTGTCAGTTTGCAAAGTTTATATTTGTTTAATTGGGTTGACTGAGGTTGGGACTAACACTTTAAATTAGTCCAGGTGTACATTTAATAGAATTATCAGGACAGTAGGAAACTATGTGTAAAATAAATCCATTTTTTGCAAGCAAATTATTTGTATAGTACTGTATATACTCATCTATAAGTCCAAAAATTTATGCCCCAAAACTGACCCTAAAATCCCAGGTTGACTTATTTATGGGTCACTATGGTAATGTGATAGCAGCTCTTTCAGATTTCTCCATGTGGTGCAGAGATTGTTTCTTTTTCTCTTGAGCCAAGCCCTGAAACCAAAGTTGAAATAAAAAGCCTCAATTAGAGTCTCTCTTGCTGTACACACACATACACACACTCCAAGTTTTACCCTCGACTTATCCACAGATCATAGCAAAATCCATAATTTTGGACTCAAAACCCTGCCCTCGACTTATACATAAGGTCCACTTATAGTCAAATATATACAGTAAGTGAATTTGAGAAGGATTTTTCTATCTTTTACCAAATGAGCTTGATCCATACTAACAGACTTTTATTTTCTGTTTGAAGCCCTCATGACAATGTAGGATGTCTAACATTTGTTGGGAGTGCACCTGGGTTGGGTAGTCTTGTGAAAACAATCCAAAAAATATTACAGGGGATTAAGAGGGAAGTTTCTCAGTAAATAAATATCATGCCAACATTGGTTTCTTGATCTTCTCAGCCATTACATTAAGCATCCTAGATGTACAATTAGACCACCAGAATTAATAGATTCTGTGCCTTTTGAATTAGAATTTCCAATTAATTCAACTCACTTGCATGCCATTCTGAGGGCTGAAAAAGCCCAGCCTGGAATGGAATGAAATGTTGGAGTTACAGGTAAGCAACTGGATCTCCCTTTGTTACAAACTGACCCCAAACCAAGTGCGTCCAGTTGGATGATTCTTAGGGCTGCTTCCATATTGCAAAAATAATCCAGTTTGACACCCCTTTAACTGCCATGGCTCCATCCTATGGAATTCTGAGAATTGGTGTTTTGTGAGACATTTAGGCTTCTCTGTCAGAGAGCTCTGATGCCACACAAACTACAATTCCCAGAATTCCATAGGACTGAACCATGCCAGTTAAAGTGGTATCAGACTGGATTATTTCTGCAGTGTGGATGCAACCTTCCACATGCACTGTGCAAAGAACTATTATATCTTCCCTTCTTTGAGAGGGTAAAAAGGCAACAGGGATGGTGGAGAAAGAGGAGATGGTTACAAATGGCAGATGCCATTTTTTTGGAGTCCCCATTCCCCACTTTCCCAATTACATTTTGTGAATGAGGTGGGTTGTTGTTACAATAGATGGCTTCCCCGGAACCCCTTCACTCTGCACAGTTATAGTGATATGATTCCACATTAACTGTCATGGCTGCACTAGAGGAGTTCTCTGGAAGAGAATTCTCAATGCCCCTCTCTACACTACAAGACTCAGGATTCCACAGGATGTTGCCATGGCAGTTAAACTGGAATCATAGCGATATTACTGTGTGAAAGGGCACCTGGACACAACCCATGAAAGTACAGCAGATTTAGGAGTGTTTCAATAGGCAGTGGCACTTAAACAGCACACAAGAACAACCCAGTTCCCAAAACTGTAAGAAACCATAAGAAGCAAGGAGCCCAGGCTGCTTTTCTGGGGTGTCAGGAACAATCCCATTTTTTCCTCAATGCGATGACTCAAAGAAGGCTGCATCCACACTGGGTTGGGTTTTTTTTTTTTTTTTAATTTTTTAAAAATGAAAACATGGCTCTGGAACTTGATAACACAAATGATGATAATGGTTGTGATGATGAAGATGATGATATAGCACAGATAAAGTTCACTTGGTAAGACCGATAACTGTTATTTCCTCCAGTTTCTGCTAAACGTATTATCCACACATCTGTCTTTGGTGCATCTTTCAATAGATATAGATATAAGTAAGACATTTATAGCCAGTTCCTTTCAATCTGGTATTTTTCTTGCCTTCCCACATCATGCTGTATCAATTTAAGTCATAACAAATAGATTCAACAAAAATTCTCTCTTTTTTCATTTTCTCCTGCAATCCCACCAGCTCTGTATCCTGTCACAATCCCTCTCTCTCAAAGATCCATATACTGATAGACTGAACCACAGGGCACCCAAAATGGAATGGATTTGGCATTCACCAGATTGCATTTCCTGCATCCCTCTAGACATCCCAGGGAAATATTTCATTCCATCTGTCGGGGGTTAAATAGTAGTGATAAACGAGATTTTCAATGGCAACGTCCAAACTGGAATGAATAGTTTTGGCTCGGTTTTGCTTTGTGAAGACAGTTAACAATATTTTTTTATACCCTCCTGGGAAAATAACTGTAAATCCTGCTGAGATGCAGACCAATGTGTATTTGTCTTTTGCCAAGAGTTCCTTTCCTCCTGTGTTCTCAAACTTGCCTAGTTGTGCTAGCTACTTGTGGGAATTCCTTAAAATCTCCACCAGTTTAAAGTAACCTAGATAATTTCACGTCATCAGCAAAAAAATGCCAGCTCACTGTTCATTCTGTCAAACAGGTTATTACTGTTACTGAGCATCAGCATTCCTCAATCTGATCCCATAGGCAGTTTACCTCATTACAAGTCTCCTTCCTATCTAAGGAGGAGGCTGGGTCATTTATTCCCAGTCTTTCCTTCCAATCTCTTAACCGGCCTCTTAATCCCTCTAAGGACTTTTAAACTCCCACTCCAGAGTTACTTTCATTTCCTTAATGGCCATGTGCAAGGAACTTTATCAGAAGCCAAAATAAATTATATTAACAGGTTCTATTTATTCCACCATGCTTAACCCTTTCAGAGATGGAAAGTACAAACCTGACCTTCGCTTGTAGACTAACACAATTTGGAGCACACCAGGTTGCGATAGGCAGTTTTTGAAAGAAGGGAGAAATTCTAGTCTGGAACTCAGACCCATTGTTTTACTCCAAGTGTTTTCCTGAAATGATAATTTGAGACTGAAGATGGAAGGTACAGTTTTGAGTAATTTAGTGGTCTTCTATGTGAAAGTCCTTGTGCACGTACAAAACCTGAAGTCTCCCTAACCCCAGTATTCCAGGCTGTAAGTATTGTTGTTTGTTGTTGTTAACTGCCTTTACGTCAGTCTCAACCCATGGCGACTCTATGGATGAGACATCTCCAGGCACCCCTGTCCTTTCCTGCTCTGCCCAGCTCCTGCAAACTCATATTTGTGGTTTCTTTAATAAAGTCCATCCATCTAGCATGTGGCCTTCCTCTCTTTCTACTTCCCTCCACCTTTCCTAACATTGTTGCCTTTTCCAACGATTCATACCTTCTCATGATATGTCCAAAGTATGACAGTCTTTGGGGGGGATGCAGACCAGGGCGTTTGGAGCGCCCTGGTCCGGAGTGCC